CCAGACCTCCGACGCCGTCCCCTTTTTCTTTGTCAGTGCGCACCCGCTGGTCGTTGAAAGCGGGTACTTTTGGATGCCCCGCTCCCAACCTACGCCTCGGGCTCAGCAGGACCCCAAGCGAAGCTTCGGTGAACTTTGTCATGCCCAAAGTTGCCTATTCTTTTGGGTCGATGCTGGTTTCGCTCGCGGTTGTGCTGGCGGTGTGTGATGCTCTTCCCGATGCCTCGGCGCATGGCGCCTTCCGACTTCAAGAGTCTAGCGGCTTTCAGGAGGGAAAAAAAAACACAGACACAATTGATCGCCGATTCCCCAGAAAGAATGGGAACATATGGGAAGTGGGGGGGAGACAAAAACCCTGAAAATATAGGAAAATATGTGGGATCCTGTTATCTGTGTGTATTTATTTGTGTGTGCCAGGGCCCCTTCATTCAAGAGTCTAGCTGCTTTCCCTCTCCCCTCCTCGGGCGGCGGCCCCGTTTATTTTCAACGCCTCCCTGCCTCGTGTTGCTTGCCCACTCCTTCCGGCCGACGGGTAGCCCTTGGGAGGCCTGGTCTCTCCCGGACTGTTTTCTTTTTTCTCCCGGGCCGCTGCGTGACGCTCCCCAGGATGCCGAAAGTCATGGAATTCTGCGATCCCTCGCGACCCCTGCCCCGATGGGTCCAGGTGCCGCTGAGGTATCCGGCACTCTCACCTCGGCTCACTCGGCTGCAGACATCCTGCAGGTTCTGCCGCCCAGTCTGTTTTGCAACAAGTGGATCCGCAGGGGCAGGGCTCACAGGTGTTTGCCTCGAGATGCCCCCGTTCGGAGTTTTTCAGGACGTTGAGGTCTGAGACCCTGGGCTTTCTGGCCCAGCAGGGTGATTATATACTCCGTTGAGCTCTCGGGAGGACCGAAATGGGGCTGGAATTATGGGAGCAACCGCCGACAGCAGCTTCTGCCAATCTCCAGCGGGCTTCGCTGTCGGTGTCGCCGCAGATGTCGTCCGTTTTGGACGAGTAGATTTAAATCGGGCCTGTCCCTCTACTGGAGGAATATTCAAAAATAGTCAAAAAATAGTCTGGGGACTATTTTTTGACTACTTTTCCTTCTTTGGGGGGTATCTTTTGAGCATTTTTGTTTTTCGCGCATAATCCCCCTGTAGGGGGACACGCCCGACTTAAGAGTAGATCCTGGCGGTGGCGGACAGCACCTGCAGCTGGACATGGTCCCCGCTCTCTCCGTGCCCACCTCGAGTGTGCCAAGCTGGTGCCGACGGGGAGTCCAGGGGTGCCAGTTTTATGCTGCCCCAGGCAAGCGAGTTGGTGACCAGGCGTGGAAGACTCGAAGTATGCCAGAAGTGCGAAATCAGAGAGTTCGAGGACAAGTTGGGCAAACTACGAATCGAACTTGCAACATTTCACACATTCTTTTCAAACCCTGTTCGAATTTTCCACGCTTCCAAATCCAGGACGTTTTCATTTTTCAAACTTCCGAGCATGGGTGTTGTTTCGCAAATTTGTTTGCAAATTCTTCCAACTATTTTTGCAAATTTTTGCGAACTTCCAAATATGGGCTTGGTCTAACTATGGTCAAACTTTCGCATTACTGTTTCGAACCTTTTTTTCAAACTTCAAATCGTTGCGAACTGTTCCATTTTTTCAAACTGTTTTCGAACTTTTGTCAACCTTCCAGGTCCGGGCACATTTTACCAAACGTCAGATCCGTCAAACTCACATTCATACTTCGTCCGCTTCGCGATTTCACGCTCTTCTCATTTCAATTCCAAGTTCATATGAAACCAAGGTTTTCATAGTTTGCCTGCTCCAGGGCGACATAATGCCAGTGGACGCTTGACCCAGAGAGGTGGTCGACCTGTCCACGAGACACCCTCAGCGTCGCCGTGACAGTTTTCTTCGCGCCGCTCCGTTGTTCGTGCCCCGCGAAATCAGTCTATCCAGTGGCCTTCGGCCCATCCCGACTCCGTACGTTGGGTCGTGGGTCGAAGGTCCAGAGGCTTTCGGAGGCTTCGGGTTCAAGGGGAGCCAATTGGAGTGCTTTCGGTGGCGGGCCAATTCATAACGCAGGAGTCTGATGGATCAGCCGCGCATAGTGAACCATTTGTTCGTAACAGCTGTGTTCGAGCTGCTTGTTTGTTGGCGGTGCTGAGTTTTCTCGCTCCTCTTTCCCCCCCCGTTTTGGATCCCCAGACGAGCCCTCTGGAATCCGATCTCGACCGCCCTCGGACCCCACCAGTCATGGAGCCGACGATTTAAATCAAGCAGCCCTCCTCGGCATTGCCACCATCAGAATCGTACGCTGCGTCCGTAGCCATTTGGTCCAGGCCATGTCGGCTCCAGTTTCAACCTCTGTGGCACAGATTGTGTTTTGTGAAAGCAGGCAGTGAGACCACGTATTTATGAATTCGCTCTCTCGATGGTTTCATCTCCACCTGTGCACGGCAGTGCTCTGCAGCACATCTGCCGGCCGTGTGTCGCCGTCGCTCGCCAGCCTCGAGCAGCACGGAGCAACAGGGTCAGACTTGCCGCCCATCTGCCGTCAGGCCTTCTTCGCCGTTGAGAGGGCGCAGCATCGAGAATGCATTCACATGTTCGAGGGCCCTAGAAAAGACTGCATGTCGGAGCCTCCGAGCAATCCAACTAAGAAGTCAAGCTTTTTGCCAGCTTCAATTTCAATACTCAAGAGGATACGTCTCTCCATCGCAGCAGGGTGCGATGTCTTTTCTGTTGGAAATGGGAGTCGATCACATGCAAATTTTGCAATTACAGATAATCGCGCATGGGTGATTAAGGCGATCAAGCGATCGGAAGTCAAATCTTTAGAGAGTTTAGCAGGAATCTCGAGTACCAGTAACATGGCAAGGTCCCCTCACGAGTATCAACAACACTTCAAGCCCACTGCACACGATCATGGCACTTTTCTCGTTCCAGTTTATGCGCTAAACTCGGAACACAGTGTCATTGTGATGCCAAATTTCCGCACAGAGACGGAGCATGTGCTGCTACCATTGTTCCCCGAGGGCACTCGGATCCACAAGTTTGATGTGAAGCCTGTTCAGGTTGCGCAGAGCGCAGAACGGACGGACTTCATTAGTTATTTGTATACCGTTGGCTGGACTCCCAGCACTGATTCCACACTCGTCGGTTCTGGATGTCATGGCCACGAGTGCTGGGAAAGAATGTTGTGCACCTTGGAATTCGATCTCAGTCTTCTTGGTAACGGCTGCATTGATTACTCATTGGTCTTCGAGCTCGCGTTTGCCGAGGGCGAACTGTCATCAGAGGCAGCAGAGAGCCTACCTAAAAACTGCATTGCCTCTGCAATGAAGCCGACGGTCAAAGCCATGTGTGTCCACATCATTGACTACTTGATGGAGTACAGCACAGTTCGGATGCTAGAGAGCTGGTGGAAAGGGGGAAAGTACGATCAGTATGGCAGTGCAGTCCACGATCTATTTGCTTGTGTTGGAGACCTGCATCAACCAGAGTGCGAGCCTTACATGGCACTACTAAATGAAGAGCAGGCTCGAGCACATCTAGAGTCCATTGGCTGGGGCTAAATGCTTCGGAGCCAGGATGCTTGGATTACGAGTTGGCTTCCTTGAGCGCACGTGTGCCACTTGGTTGCCTTCGAGGCCAATTCAGCGCCATGCGTCTCACACGGGCCAGGTCAGGACGGATGCGATCAGGAGTGCACCAATTTTGTGCGCAAGTGTGAATCTGATATCACGTGAAAGTTCTGAGGAATCTGGCTACGGGGGGAGGCGTTGGGGGTGCCCTCTCCATTGCATATGTATTTGATTTATATCTCGGAGTAGGCCAGGGGAGGGCCCAAAACTGCGACCACTGGTTCGCATGGGGGGCCAGGGGGGCCTTGGGCTCCAAGAGGGTTCAGAAGGGGCCCCTGACTCCCCCAGAGGCTCCCAAGCTGGCCCAAGAGGCGCCCGAAGCGCCCCAGGTTGTCTGGAAGGTGGCTGAAGAGCGCACTGAGATGGATTCCGGACGGGCCACGAGTGCTCGAAGACAGCCCAAGACTGATCCTAGACGGCCACAAAGGCATTCAAGACGGTCCGAGAGGTCGCCGAGAAGGCTCCAAGGGCAAAAACCAAGCATTTCCGATGGAAAAACGTATATCTCCTGGATATTTGCTTTTCAGTCCTACCAGCGGCCGCGACGGCCCCAGAGGCTCCCAGAATGAGCCCCAGACGGCCCAAGAGGCCCCCAAGAGGGCCCCCAGACGGCCTGAAGAGAGCTTCAAGCAGCACAAGAGAGCTCCAACACGGCCCAAGAGAGTACCAAGGAACCCCGGGGGGCCACCGGAGGATCCCTACATGGTCGGAGAGGCCCCCCCGAGGACCCCAAGCCGGGCTCAGGTCCCCATGACGGGCGAAGAGGGACCCCTACCAGGACTCCCTTGAGACGGTCCAGGAGGCCGTTGAGAAGGCTCCCAGGTACAAAAAACGAGCACTTCCCATGAAAAAGCGTACATTTCTAGGACATTCGATGCTTTTGTTCAATCGGCGGCCACGTCGGCCCCAACGGCTTCCCAAATCGGCTCTCCAAGACAGCCTCAATTGAGCGTCGAGTAGCACAAGAGAGCTCCGAAACAGCCCGAGAGAGTCCCCAGGGTCCCGAGGGAGCCACCGGAGGATCCCTACATGGTCGGAGAGGGCTCCATGAGGGCCCCAAGACGGCTCAGCTACCCATGACAATGACATGCCAAGAGGGTCTTGGGACAGCCGAAATGGGCTCCGAGACGGGCCACAACAGGCCCAAAAGGACCCCCCCCAGATTGTCCAAGAGGCCGCTGAGAAGAAGGCCCTCCAAAGGCAACATCAAGCATTTCTTATGGAACAACGTACATGATGATTTGGAGGAGGAGGAGGAGGAGGAGGAGGAGGAGGAGGAGGAGGAGGAGGAGCTGGTTGATGATGGTGACGAGAAGGAGAAGAAACATTTGGAACATGAGGAGCGAATGGGAGCTCCCTTCGCCGGCGCCCAGGCGCACCCGTGGAGCCCGTGTCCACTGTGGGCGGGAGGCTCCACACGGCCGTGGGAGCCTGGGGCGAAGAACGAGGGCGATGTGGAGGGGGGATGGTTCAAAAAGGTGGGCTATATATATATATATATATATATTGCCCCCCCCCCACATGATCATACATATTCTCCCCTCCTCATCTGCTCCCCGCTCTCCGTCGCACTTCCTCATCCTCTTATCCTCCTTCATCGGGGTGCTTTGGGGCCTGTCCCGTCAGCTGCTCCTTGCCTTGGGCGGCAAAGACAAAACGACCGAATGATCGACGTAATATTTTCTCTGGCTTGCAAGCTTGCTTTCAGTCACTGCCTTGATGAGCGTGCCATCCATATATATATATATATATATATACGCCGGTCGTTGAAAGTAGGTATCCGGCATTCGGCCAGTGCCGCCGTTCAGGGGTTCTCTGGATGTGACCCTCTCCCGTTTCCCCTTCCCCTTCCTCTCCCCTCCGCTCTTTTCTTCCTCGCTCCCTCCACTCTTTCTCCCCCCTGAAGACGGAACGCCCCGCCCCGCTCTTTTTCCCAGAGCGTAGCTAAAGCCAGAGAGCAGCGGATATGTTGATATTATTTCATGGCCTTCGGCCCATTCCGCCACCGTGCTTGGGTTGTTGATGACAATGAAGCCTCTGAGATGTTCGTGGGGATGTCGTGGGAAGGCTCTCGGGGGCTTTCTGGAAGCAGTTTTGAAGCCTATTGGGCGCCGTTTTGGGCTTCTTGGGGCGTCCTGGGGGTCTCGGGGGCCCTGGGGGGCCTCTTCGGACTTCGAGGGGGTGTCTTGGAGCGGAAGGCAGGCGTTATCATTTCGGGCTTCCCCTCTGGGGCCTCTTTTGGCCTGTCTTGGGGCTTTCTTGGGCCGTCTTAGGCACCTATTGGGCGGCTTCTGGGCCCTCTTGGGGCGTCTTGGGGCGGTGTTCGGGGGTCTCTGGGACCGTCTTGGGAACTGTTTGGAGTGTCTTGGACGTCGTAGGCCGAGAAGTCGGACATGCTAGAAATGTCGGTTTCCCTTGAGAAATTGAACGGTTTTTGCCTCTTGGCGCCCTCTTGGGGGTGCTCTTGGAGGTCTCTTGGGACGTCTTGGGCGCTTTTGCGGCCGACTGGAGGCTATCTTGGACGTCTGGGCCCGATCGGTCAGCGATTGTGTAGGGCCTAGGATGTCCTACACAGGAAGCTGGAGCAGAGCGGAGCACAGGCGGAGCAGGGCCCCCCTCCCCCCCCGTCCCCGGCAGATCCCCCCCGGCCCCCCCCCCCAGCAGAGTTGAAGCTCAGGCTCTAGGCTGTAGCTTCGATTTTTGGATCCGCTGTGGGCAAGAGGCTCCGGACGGCCGTGGGGGCTCAGGCGAAGAGCGCAGATTCAATCTACTTTAGTCGCCTTCCCACTTCAAGAGTCGAGCGGTTGTCCCTCTTCCGTCCTCTTCAGGGCGGGCGGAAGCCCAATCTACTTCCAACGCCTTCCTACTTCATGCTTCTACACACTTCTTCCGACCGACGAGTGCATCACCGCTAACCTTCGCTCGTTATTGCCTTTGTGGGCTTCCTGGGTGGCCGTCGTCGCCACGGCTGGATTCTCGCCAAAATCCATGTCAGAAAGCACCCCGGGAGGGGTCTGAGGAGTGGCGGCATATCTCGTTGTTTCCCCAGGGGCCCCTTGCTTCTTCCCTCCCCCCCTTCGTCCTCCAACCTCCTCCTCCATCTTCGAGGATCAGGGCCATTGGGCGTCTTCGGCCCCTCCCTGGGCCCTGGAGGACTCCGGACGCCTCTCGAGACTCTCGGACAACAGCCTCTCGCTCCCGCCACTCCCCTGCGCTCCCCTGGCCGGGCCCGGCCCGCCCGGTTCTCCCACCAGGCTCTCCCAGGGGCCCACCGAAGGCCCCAGTGGCGACGTCCGGTTGCGTCCGCCCCACCCAGTGCAGCATGCCGTGGCCCCATAGGGAGCCCCACCGAAGGCCCCAGTGGCGACGTCCACATGCGTTCGCCCCACCCGTTGCAGCGTTTCGTGGGCCACGTGGGGACCTGGTAAGGGGTTCAGGGTTGGTTCTGGGCCAGAAATTGTCGGGTGGGGGATCGCAAGATCAGACGTCCCAGGACGGTGGAGGTGTGTTCCTGGTGGGGACCTCGTGGGACATGGTAGGGGGTCAGGGTCGGTTCTGGGACAGGAGTTGATGGGTGGGGGGTTCCTAGAACAGAGCTCCGAGGACGGTGAGGGTGTCCTTATGGTGGGAGCTCGTGTGGACCTGGTAGGGGGTCAGGGTCGGTTCAGGGCCAGGAATTGCTGGGTGGGCGGCTCCAAGAAGGACGGTAGGGGTGTCAACCTTGTGGGGGCCTCGTGGGGACCTGGTAGGGGGTCAGGGTCGGTTCTGGGCCAGGAGTTGTCGGGTAGGGGCTCGCAAGAACAGACGTCCCAGGACGGTGGAGGTTTTTTCCTGGTGGGGGCCTCGCGGGGACTTGGTAGGGGGTCAGGGTCGGTTCAGGGCCAGGAATTGTCGGGTGGGGGTCCCAAGAACAAAGGTCCAAGGACGGTGGGGGTGTCAACCGCGTGTCGGGCCAATCCCAAACGGCTGGTACCAATTACAGCCGACATGGCCACTTCTCAACCGGCCAAACAACTAGCTGATACCAACTACAACCAGCCGTCTTTAGCCGACACCATGGTTATACGTGTACAGCCCGTCAAGAGGATTCAGAAATCAAATGCGCGTCTTAAGAGTAGACTTTCATTCGGAGAGACATCATGCGTACTTTGGTTGGAACTTGCATTCGTTTAATTTCTGACATCTGGGAGCTGTGCTGTGAGGAAACTAAACAGTTGACGTCAGTCTTACTGGGGTTTTTCGGTTGGCGTGTGAGGGCAAGGCTGCTTTCGTGCGACAATTGTGTAAAGCTTCGCGTTACGTGGCTTTCATGTGAGAGCTGCGAGAGTTTTATCAGCGAAGAGTGCAATACTTAAAACGAAGAGGTGATATGCATCAGAAGCCAGGCAGCTCGTACTGATACGCCCATTGTGCACATATGAGCATGTCGAATGCCAAGTGAAACCAGGAGGCAGGCTTCATGTGCGCAAACGGCAAAAACGAGTTGTTACAATCATCGGGCACAACTTGATCAGAATTTCTACGTTTTTGGTATGTAAGTGTAGTAGAAAATTCGCTTATCACAGCCTCCCGCATAATGCTGTAATGCCACATGCGCTCTTCACTTGTAATGTGATGGGAAACGCTTCAGCCACAGCCTTCTGCCAATATAGTAGATCTTCCATGTGCTTTCAGTAAGACTTCGATAGGACAGGGTTGATCGCAGCGTCCCGCTGGATGCTTGTATATGTTATTTGTTTGTTTCAGCATGCACTCAATAGGGGCGTGGGGGCCGAACGACACGGCGGCAGCGGGAAGGGAAGCGGGGTCCGAACGACCCGGCGGCGTCGGAGGACAAGGTGGTTCGTTCGGCCCGCCTCTCCCTCCCTATGGTCTCGGGGGCCTCGAACCCTCTGGGGGACGTGACGCTTCCATTGGAAGCGTCGCCTCCGGGGGTTCGGAAAACCCTTGCTCGCAAGGGAAGGACCGAACGAATCGGCGGCGGCATGGGGTCGGGCCCCCCCGAGCTTCCCAGGGCACGAAAAACGTTTCCATTGAAACCTTCGGGGGCTTGGAGAAACCCGCGCCGCAGGAAGGGGCGCGGGGGCCGAACGATTTGGCGACGGCGGCGGAGGGCAAGGCGACTCGTTCGGCCCGCCTTTCCCTCCCCACGGGTGCTGGGCCCCACCGAGCCCCCGAGGGCGCGAAACGCTTCCATTGGAAACGTCCCCGTTTTGGGGTCGGAGAACCCCGCTATGTTTTCAGGTCAGAGGACTGGCAAACAATGTGAATTGCGTGCTTCTCAGTGTATTCATTGTTTCGACGATCTATGCGCCCTCAGGTAGATTCAACAGAACACCATCACCCATGCGCTATGTACGAACGCATGAGGAATGTACAAGGCTGGTTATTCGTAGTGTTTGCTGGCCTTCGTACCTGAGCATCATCTTGTTTTGCACTCGTTGATGGTTCGAGCCCGCTCGTGCGGCTCCCTTTGGCGGCTTTGTCATTCAGCCTGGTTGCGCTCAGGTAGTAACGTTTTTTTGGTTGAAAATGAAGGTTCCGTGCGGGTTTTTTGGTGACCTCATTCTGTAATGTTTTTTTCCAACCGGATTCTTCGCTGCGGATTTGACATTGACGATTCATTTTTGATCGATGGTTGGAGGGGATTCTTTTGCTAAGGATTGCCAATCGGTGGGCGTACTTCTTATTCATGGTTACCCAGCACGGATTCTTTATTAAGGGTTGCATATGATGTTTCTCTCGCTGAGGGTCTGTGATAACGTATTCATGGTTGATTTTTGGATCCACTAAAACGGATTCCTGTGTAGTGGCTTCTTGATAAATAGGGTTCATCTGTATGGATTAAACACTCCGTATATATGATTACAGGGTACTGATTTTCAAAACTGATTCGTTCGGAACGATAATATAGTAATGGCACCTTCGGTAATATTCCAGTTTTACGGGTTCTCGAATGCAGCTTTTGTTGTTAAGCTGGGTCCTTCTAAACCAAGTTCCTTGTTACCGATGACGCATAAAATACGTTCAGTTTATTATAAGCAAGTTTTTGTATTTCGCCCCCCCCCCCCCCCCCCACCCCCCCCCCCCCCCCCCCCCCCCCCCCCCCCCCCCTCCCCCCCACATATATATATATATATATATATATATATATACATATGTAGATGTTACGCCGCCGGTTTCTTCAGACACCTTATTTCTATTGGAAATTACTATGTGCTGGATTTTTGTTTGGATCAAGCACTACAACATGTATTGCCATGTTATATACATTTTTTGGTTGGGGGTATATTTCCCGTGCATGTCCTATGTCTGTATTTATGTATGTACATTACATGGAAGTCAAATGTTTAAACGGCCGTGGTGGTGGAGGAGGAAGAGGAGGAGGTGGAGGAGGAGGAGGAGGAAAAGGAGGAGGATGAGGAGGAGGAGGAAGCGGAGGGGTGAATCTCTTGGTCGTGCCCCTCCAGGCTGCTCCCGAAACCCGACGCCTCCAGCAAAAGTGCAGCACGCTGACAGGTCACGACTGGGCCCCACCAGACCCCATCCGTCCTGCGGCACACAGTTTCGATCCGGCTTGATATCAGTAAGGGCACGGGAGCACGGAAAGCAGGGGCCAGAGCGCGATGCCCAGGGTCTCCAGGGGGGAGGCTTTTCTGACGCCGCACCCGCGGGAGCTGGGCGAGGCGCGGAGGAGCGGAAGCTTGAGCCGCCCCCTTGCTTCGCGGCCGCGCTCGCCCCGGCCTCCGCCGCCCCGCCCTGACGTCCAGCCACTGCCCTGCCGTTGCTGTCCAGCCGCACCGCGCGTGGCCCTCTTGCCCCCGCCCAGGATCGATGATCCCCGGGCGTGTGTTAGCCCAGGGTGTGTGTGTGTGTGTGTGTGTGTGTGTTCGTTTGCACCACGCTGTGCCTTCGACAGTGTTCGATCGCATTTAGCACTTCCATCTGCTGCCCGCGATCGAGGACCCCCTGCGCCGCCGACTTAACAAGTGTGTGTGTGTGTGTGTGTGTGCGTGTGTGTGTGTGTGTGTGTGTGTGCGCGTGTGTGCGTGTGTGTGTGTGCGTGGTGCAGAGCGTCCCCCTGGCTCTGTCACGGCCGCCTGCCTCTGGGAGCTTCTGGCCTCGGCGGGCCAGCCCCGCAGCCGTGATCAGAGCCTCGGGCCCGCCGTGCGGGCACGCCTACTTTCAGGGGGGGAAAATCACACAGACACAATTAATCGTCGATTCCCCAGAAAATATGGGAAAATGTGGGAAGTGGGGGGGGAAGACGAACATCCAAAAAATACGGAACAATGGGGGGAATCCTGCTATTTGTGTGTGTGTGTTTATTTGTGTGTCTCCTGGGGCCCCTTCATACTTGCATGCCGGCCGCCGCCCCGGCATCATGCGGCAGCCGCGGCAGCATTCCGCCGGCCTGCCCCCCCCCGCGGCGGCGACCCGCTCAGGCCCGACCGCGGCGGACGCGGCTGCTGCGAGCCCGCTCGGCGTGCAGACTGGCTCTCGCGTGCCAACGACCTCTCCTCTCCGGTCGTCGGCGGCGCGTTCTTCAGCGTCGACGGCGTCGCCTGCTTCCGCTCCGGCCGTGGCCCCTTTTGCGCCGGACGGCGGGTCCAGTGACGGATGTGGACGGGCTGGTCATCGGCCACGCCACGCTCTGCGGGACGCACGCTCCGCCCCTGCCAGGTGGCCTTTTGCCCCCGGTCAGATCTACGGTGCCTCTTTGGAGGCATTCCGCGAGCGGCGTGACCAGCGTAACAACCGTGAGGATTGAGTCCGTCTGGCTCCCTTTTTTGCTACCTCCTGGCCCCTTCGGTAGGGCCCTCCACTCGTGCCGCGAGTGGTCTTATTGCCCACTCTTCGGCACCCCGAACCCCACTGCCGGTTGCTACCTCACCCCTGGTCGCGACCGTCGCTTCGGCGTCGGCCCCTGGCGGCCCCCGCTCGCGATCCCAGTTCGGGCGCTCCCCGCTGCCTTTCCGGCAGGCTACACACCTTCGCCTCGACGTGAGGTATCGTAGCTCCCCCGCAGTGGAACCAGGCCATTTGCGAGTAGTCACTTTGCGGGTAGTGGAACGCGCTTGTCTACAGTGGGGGCCCGACCACAAGAAACCTTCCACAAGAAACCCAACCCTGAGACTCCAGGACGTCCATCGATTTTCGGCGTGGGAACGTCACGCCCTCCACGGCAAAACCTCGAAACCCATCCAACCCAGGGCACCCTGGAGGCCAGCAGGGTGTTTCTTGGCATGGGCCCCCGCTCTAGGGGAACCCACTGTCCGCGACGGGGGAATATCCATAATCACCGCCTGGGGATTCGATCTTCGAGGACCTCCACAGGCGGTGGATATGGATATGGATATGGATGTGGATGTGGATGTGGATATGGATATGGATATGGATATGGATATGGATATGGATATGGATATGGATATGGATATATATATATATATATATATATATATATTATATATGTATGTATGTATAGATTCGTCCCCCCAGGCGCCGAAACATACCCACATCCACCGCCCGCTGGGGCACCAGGACGTCGGTTCCCGGGCGGTGGATGTGGACAGATCCCCTCGCCTCGAAGGGGCCTGTCTGGGCGGAGCCCTCCCGCCCGGGTGCCCTCCTCTCCTCCGCGCTCGGCCCCGCTGCCCCGCCTCGCCCGGCCGGCGCATCGCCAGAGACGGAGCACGCAGAGAGAATCTTCGGCCGCGGGCCTCGGCGCGGCATGCTCGCCCCTGGGCGCCCTCCTGCTCACCTCCACCCTTCGGTTGGGCATGTCCCTCGATAGGAGGCAGATTCAAGAATGGTCAATATGTCGTAGGTCTGCACGAACGAAATGGGCACGGAATGAATGGGTACAATGCCCA